TATAAAATTACATGCTCATTAAAGTGTTGAATTTGAGATAACTGTAAGTGGAAATTTCTAACGGCATTATTAATTAGCGAATAAAGCGAAATATATGATCTGGAATAAACGCTAGGCATTACTAACTGGTGACATGACGTTGTAGCTAAATACAGGTGCATCTCAAAAAATTAGAATATTGATTAAAAGGTCAAATGCACTGAACAAGACAGAGGTTAAATGCTCAGGAAAGCTTTGGGTCATTAGCTGATTAGGGCTCTTCTAGGGTCGACGTTTCTGTTATCCTTCTCTATCTTAATGCTTCTTTTCTTAGCGCGCTGTAAGGTCACCTGATGACAAGGTGGTTTCCAGCATCCAACCTCTGGTCCGCTCACACTGGAGAGGTCACCCCCAGGTGTTATCCTGGACAGCCCTACCCTCCCTCAGTGTGGGGAGGATGGAGAAATACAGACTGTATGAACCTGCTGTTCAAAATAATATCAGTGTGACGTGTGGCCCTGATTTTCTAATTGTGTCGCAGAGTGACAGAAGTGACGAGTCAGGAGAGGGAACAAAGGCCTATCAGAGAGAGGCTGGAGTTTGTCAATCTTATGGACATGGTTTACTTATTTAGTCCACATGGATACTAGAGAAGAAGTCAGTGACGTGGTCCTCATAGAAAATACTGTGTCATATTTGTAACAGGACCCTGAAGCTGTTTTACCTGAAGGACATCCACACTGTGACCAGGTCCTGCTGTGCTAACTGATATATGTTTTACAAACAGTCAGATCTCTGTACAGCACACACTTGAATAAATTAACAAAATTAAATATTCACCAAAACCCCTCTGGCAGGACTTGAACCTACATATGAAGATAAAAAGAGACACTGAGGAAATTGACTTGGAAATCCAGAAACTAGAAAGAGAAGTGATCGTTTCAACACAGACTGTGAGCAAGACTGTAAGTCTTAATCGTTAATTCTGTCCCCAGCTGCCAGCGGAGGTGTCAGGGTGCGGTTTGGTGAGCAGGTTGTAGGCAGGTTGGTGGACCCAAACGCAGGACACGAAGGCTGACTGGTGCAGTTCAGTGGTTTATTAGAGGCAACAAAAGGCGAGCTCACTTACAGAGTGGCTGATCAACAGAGTCCAAGACAAAGTTATCCAACAGAAATCCCAAAACCCAAAGCAGGGTGACAAGACTGAGCAGACAAAACAGGACATCGCACACAGGAACACGAGGAACACAAGGTAACGATCCAACAAGGACAAGGCAGAAACACCAGGTATATATTCACAGGGACTAACGAGCAGGGCGGGAGCAACACAGGTGAAAGACATGAGACTTACGAGGCAGGCAGAGAGACAGCAGGGAAGACAGAGAGAAGCAGGCAGGCAGAGACAGCAAAGGGGAACAAAGAGGCAGGCAGACAGAGTGATAACTGGGGGAAACAGACGGAACACTTGACAGGCAAACATGGGGCCAAGTAACCCACACAGACAGAACACAGACCAGAATAAAACACTAAGACACAAAACTAGGAGCTAAGACACAGGGCTGAGATGCAGGAAACAATCTATAACACATGACAGACCGGTACAAAGAGAGCTGAACAGAACCAGTAAATGAACAAGGGAATACACAGAGCTAAACAGAGAACACAAGACCAGGAGTAAACACTAAAGACATGAACTAAAGTACAGGACTAAGAACGAAGACATTGAACCAAAACCGACTAAATAGCAGATACAAAACCAAACCCGAAAACACAGCACTCAGGACAGGATCGTGACAAGAGGAGTGATCCTAGCAAGATAAAAGGTCAAAAAACATTGTGGTGTCCTCTCCCTGTTGTTCCAAAAATCTACAGTACACTATGTACTCAATTTGGGAGGATTTAACAATTTATGAAACTTTGTGCCACGACGCCAAATGAAATCCATACACATGGAAAAGTAATACAATATGAATCCTTTATTGTTAAATAATTAATCCACTTAAATTGATGTTGACATTTATGTTACCAGGAAATGTTGCAGCGTTGTCCCAGTCCATCTCCAGGGCCACTCTAGGAAGACAGAGAATTCACCTGAGAACACAAAATGGAGCCTAATTGTTTTTGTAATCTGTAATTCATGTTACAATTTGGTAGTATTCTTCTCAATTAATCATCAGTCTTCATTTGTATTTGTCATACAATGGCCATATAACACAAAGTGCTTTGCATTTAAAAATGTAATGTTTCTGTAATGTGGATGTTCTTCTGTGGCCGGGGAAGGTGTCATTTACACTGGGGACGCTGGGGACATGTCCCCACCACAATGTGAAATCTGATTTTGTCTCCATCACTTTTTGAAAGCAACTGTTAAAAATGTTCTGAAAAACAGCTTGCACCAAGAAATGTTCACTAATAAATGAAAATGCTTTGAGAAAGGTTTCTTTGCACAATAACAAAACATGCAAAGCAATTTAAAATAGAGAAAACAAATGTGCATTGTCCAAAAAAGTAACAGGCTGTTATATTTTTCTATCAATGAATTGTGTCACCTGCCAGCTGAAGTTTTTTGTTTCTCTTTTTATAAATAAAGACATTTCCACCCTAAATTGAAGCAGCAATGTCTCCAGAATGCAGGAAATGAAGTGTTTAATGCTCAAAATCTTATTGGGGGAGGATCCTCCAATAAGATTTTAGCATTTAATGTTTCTTAAAAATATTGTTAAAAATCTTCTCATCTTGTTTTTGAGCATCGTCAGGTCTCGTGACACAAGTGTATCATCGTGCCCCTAATCTGAGCCCTTTTGTCCCCACCTTTCAACACAAAGTCACGCCTTTGGCCAATTCTATATTTATAATGGAGCAGTAAATACTGGCTATACTCAACTGAAATTGATAAAATATGCAGCCTACCTACTGCCAGTATGAAAAACACATCGGTGTCTGACCGCTGACTAAATATATGAGGCCCCAGGATTAACCAAGCCTGGCTGTTAGCCTGGTCTGGAGCAGGCCAACATGGTTTTGTGAAACTGCCCTCTGGACTGTATTTTTTCTTGAAGTGGGCGTGATTGTTGGACTTGTGTTATGCAAAATAATAATAATAATAAAACGTAGCTGGATTAGCTTTTAGCAGTGTAGCCATGGATGTACTTCCACTGGATAACTGTGATACTGAGGAAAACATACTGTATATCTACAGGTCTGTGTACAAAAAGTATTTGTAGTATTTCTTAGTTTTATGCATATTTGTCACACTTTAATGTTTTAATAATATTAGACAAACATAACCAAATACAAGATCCAGTTTTTAAAACCTGCTGAAACAAGACATCACTAAAATATAACTTTTAGTCTACTGACAAAGTTAAGAAGGCTAAAATATCTCAAAAAGCAGACTGAAAATCACAATATATGATTATAATTAATATATGTTTATAGTTATTTATAGATATAGAATAATAATGATCATGACTTCTCAGATTTGACCAGCTGATGTCCAGCTGATCTCTGATGAAGGCGCCCAGTCACCTGCTGAATAGTTCGCTGCCCAAACGTATGTTTTCCGCTAGGGGTCATGAGAACACTGCACCACAGAGCGGAAAACATACCAACAAGCGCCCAAGCCAGAGAGAAGGAACAGAACCACCTGAAGGGGGCACTTACAGCCTGTGGATACCCTAAATGGACCTTTGTGAAAACAGCCACAAGATCCAAGAAGAACAAAACTACAGGGGAGGAAAAGAAGGTCAAACGCAACAACACTGTGATTCCATACGTGTCTGGAGTATCAGAGAAACTCAGGAGGATTTTCAACAAACACAACATCCCTGTGTTTTTTAAACCCAAGAACACACTAAGACAGATGCTGGTCCACCCCAAAGACCGCACACCCAAACACAAGAAAAGCAATCTAGTGTATGCGGTCCAATGCAGTGAGGAATGCACAGACCTGTATATTGGGGAGACTGAACAACCACTACACAAACGCATGGCTCAACACAGAAGGGCCAACTCCTCAGGTCAAGACTCTGCAGTCTACTTACATCTGAAGGACAGAGGACACTCGTTTGAGGACCACCAGGTGCACATTTTAGTCAGAGAAGACGGATGGTTTGAAAGAGGTGTCAAGGAAGCATCTACACCAGGGTTGAGAAGCCGTCATTGAACAGGGGATGGGGTCTACGCCACCACTTATCCCCCACTTACAATGCTGTCCTTTCATCACTTCCCAGGAAACTCAACAAACGTAACCTATTGGCCTCAGGTGAAGATACCAACGATGGTCGTTCAGTCTCGGACACAGGTAGTCTTAACGACTGTAACGACTGTCGTCACAGCAACAAGGAACACTAACGAACCAGCGGTATCGATGACCCGGGCCAACGACCCCACTGAGGTTAAATAGCTGAGTTTCCCTGCCAGTCAGTCAGAACTGAAGAAGTCCTTTGGATGAGGGACGAAACGTCTTCCAGTATCTTCAACCAAGTCCAGTTGCCCTTGACTGAACATTTACTAAGAGCAAGTGGTATAAATACACAAAGTTGTTTAAATTCAAAGTAAAATAATTTAAAATAAATACAATAAGGTGTAATAAAACCTATGGCACTTCGTCTATGAAGATTCTCAGTCATCCAGGTCATAGTTATCCAACGAAGGTTAAAATCAAGGGCAACTGGACTTGGTTGAAGATACTGGAAGACGTTTCGTCCCTCATCCAAAGGACTTCTTCAGTTCTGACTGACTGGCAGGGAAACTCAGCTATTTAACCTCAGTGGGGTCGTTGGCCCGGGTCATCGATACCGCTGGTTCGTTAGTGTTCCTTGTTGCTGTGACGACAGTCGTTACAGTCGTTAAGACTACCTGTGTCCGAGACTGAACGACCATCGTTGGTATCTTCACCTGAGGCCAATAGGTTACGTTTGTTGAGTTTCCTGGGAAGTGATGAAAGGACAGCATTGTAAGTGGGGGATAAGTGGTGGCGTAGACCCCCTCCTCTGTTCAATGACGGCTTCTCGACCCTGGTGTAGATGCTTCCTTGACACCTCTTTCAACACCCGCTTCGAATGTTATCACTCGATTGAATGGGCGTTATCAGTGGTTATCAGCTCATATATATGGGCCAGCAGGGGCCTGCTGCGCCTACTGGTAGGCTCAGAAGGCTGTTATCATCCATCCACATGGTTAATCACCGACAAATACAAGAGAAGACTCCAGATCCAATACCAGAGGAATCCAGCTCGCCGGTAATCGGAGGTCTACTGAATGACGCAGCAACGTTGCAATATTTCGCGCTTGATATTTTCAGGTAAGAACATTTAAATGATAAAACCGAGCATTTAAACCGAAATTAATTAGTCAATAAGGGAAAACAATACATAAAATGTGTTTTAATGTTGCGTGACATGAGTGTTGACATGAGATAAGCGTATTGCGATTATTTTGGCTAACGTTATATAGGCTAACGTTAGGCCCTATTACGTTACGTTATTAGCCCAACATTACGTTACTTACTTGCTTTATTTGAGCATTAACGTTGCTAATAAGTATGTTTTTACGTATGAAGCTAATGGGGAAATTTAGTTTCTAGTTAAACGCAAAGTTAGCCTGTAAAAATTACTTTTTCCACACTGTAAGGCTTATTGCATAATATTGTATGCTCGTTAACGCCCATCATAGGCCTAACCTTACTCCTATTGACTTATGAGTGAAATATTAAACCCATGACGTATTTTATGGCTGTTTGGGTACCTTGGGATCTTGACTAGAATGTAAAATAAAGTTTTGTGGGTTTGAAAAAAGCTTGGATGGATTTGATCCCACACGAGGTAGCTTACAATGACATTCATGCAAAAGACGAATATTAGGAATCTATTAGAAGTAAATATAGACTGTGGTGTCTGTGTGTGTCACATTTATTGCTGTCCTTGACATTGAACTTGAAAAGTCTATTTATCTATCTGTCTGCCTGCCTGTGTGTGTAACATTAATATATCTTTACCTAACTTTTTTGTCTCCCACAGCATCAATTTCCAGTGGATTGAAGGACTTCTGTGGTAGGCTAAGTTTGTTTTATTACTTCCACGCTCTATCTCTTTGTTGAACAATCTAAAATTTGGTTTTGGCCTTTTTGAGAGAAGGGCCCGTTCACAAATCTGTCTTGTGCAAGTTTTTCTGTTTATGTTTTAGGTTGAAGATGGCCCAGAGAGGTAAGCCTTGCAGTTGCTAATCTAGAAGCATTAGGCAAGTGTGTCTGAGAACGATGGTATGATCTGCAACACTGTCTTTTTTATTACTGATTTATAACTGACTAGATTTTTCTTTCTTTGTTGTTATTCAACAAGAGAGAACTCCCATTAATGGGAATCAAAAGGAAACCCTGAAATCCTTTTTTACGAATGGAATGACACGAGTTGGGTCAAAATTAATTCCAAGTGCTGCATCTGCTACTGGTTTGGACACCAGTGTCATAGAAGTAAGTTTTACTTTAGTGCCACACTAACAAACAACATGTCAAATAAATATATCATTCTGCTGCACTGCTTGTAAAAATGAAGTATTTTGTTAAAATACTGTTTAATTGGTGTAATACTCTATCGTTATTTTTGTTTTTGTTTTTCAGAACTGGATCGGTAATTACAAAAGATCACAAATTTCAAAACCTTTGTCTGAACCCCGTCAATCAAAGGCAAAAGTTCACGTCAGAGAGCTGTCGCCTTACAATCTTTTTTGTAGGGACATATTCAAAAACAAAGGTGAGAGACAAAATTGAACGGCTTCTTTTAATTGTTATACTAAATGGTTTGTTTTTGTACATAGTGGCCCTGTTGACATCAGGGGTTTACAAGGTCATGAAACAGATTTTCAAGATAGTATTTGGCAAGTACTTCACACGCAAGTTGCATTCATCAACGTAAGACTGCTGTGTGTATTGAAAAGAATCATCAGGTCATCTACTTTACATGTTATCTTGTTTTTACAGAGTTGTTACAGAGAAATGGGTTTCACAACCCAAGTAAACCAGTGTGTTGGACAGATTGTCGTTGTATGAATTTACTTTAAAAAAAGAGATGCTGAATCTAAAGTGTTAAGTTTTCTGTGCATCTATTTTTTCCTCAGGCACAATGAATGACATTAAGGGCAGGTGGGCCACATTGGGGGAAGATGAAAAGAATAAATACTTTCAAGAGGCAGCAGCACTGAGGGCACATGGGCAGACACAGGACCTTAGCCCAGAGATGAGGGATGCCCGAATTAAAATGCACCTTAAGAAGCTGAAGTTAGAGGTTTGGAAAATGGCTTCATTTGCTAGGCATTTGTGGTATTATTTTAGTATTAGATGGAAGGATGATCGACAGCAATTGTGATGCGAGCAGAACATTGTGACAGACAACTGGATTGTTGATTTGTAGATTTTTTTCATAATTTCAAATGAATTCATCCCAAATAAATATTCCAGCTGATTGTTGTTTACATGGCTATCAACATCAAATATTCTCACTTTGAAGAACACCTCTCAAACTAAATTCCTACTGGTTGGGCTAGTCTATTCACATCAAGGTGGTCAATTGAAGCATTAGTAGTCACAAATGGCTATGAGTCAAAATTATTGAATTTGGACTCTATGTAAACAACTAATTTATAGTTAATGTACCCTGGGTGGTCCTTGACCACTTATTTGCCACGTGTGACAACACTGTTTTCATATATTTCCAAGCCCTGTTATGAGTTTTTTCTTCAGTGTGTGTTGAATTTTTAAAAGTAGGTTTTGTGTTTAATCAATTATTTACTATTTTTGTGGTTGTCGTCTTCTATTGTAAAGGTGTCCAAGCTTGAGGATTTGGGTGTGGAAACAGCCATTCTATCATTTGACCGCCAAAAGTCCTCATTAGAGGTGTTTGAACTGAGCAGCAAAGGAGCCACTGATTTCCTTGATACAACGGAGACAGTGAACAACTTCGCACTGCATTTCAAAGGTATTGGTTATATAAAAATCCACAGAAATGGACTCAGGCCTGTAATAGTGCAAATATACATAATACAGTTTTATGAAATTATTGTTGTCTGTTGTTACATCTGTAGCCAGCTCCTCACCCGCAACACCCAGTACCAGAGAACATGTCAGTGTTCTGGTAGGAAAAGTGCAAGATCTATTCAACCAAAAATATAGTAAGCATAAGTTCAAATACTTTTAATCCCTTCATGAATCCATGGCATTATTATCAAATGAATAAATTATTTAATGTGCCCATCAACCATTAGATTGACACCTTACCAAAATGTCTGTTTGCAGCCTGTACACTGGCTATCAACTAGAGGGGAGAGTCACAATTGTCCAACTGTGTAACATTGTGTAACGTGTGCATGCATGTTTGTGCCCGTGTATTTCAGAGGAGGCCGGAGGTACTGGGAGGCTTCCCTACCAGTCCCTGGTAAATCAGGGCATGACCATTAATGTAGCTGGACTGCCCACAAGTCTTACCCTCAGGAAGCCTTCCTTTTATGGAAGGAACCAATTGGTCGAAATTTTGAAAGCTGCAGAGGAGATTTCATTTGAAATAAGTAAGTGACATTACCATTACCAGTGTCTTTCTCCACTTGTGTTTTAGCAGACCATTTGGCTCTATGCAAAGTGGGGAAAATAAGTTAACTAAAGAATAATACTGGCCTACATGTAAGTCTTTGTATATTTTGGGGCATTGCATCTCTCTCTGTCCCTTCACCGCAACCGTCAAGGCAGATGGCCGCCCACCCTGAGCCATGGTTCTGACGTATCTGCCTTTTAAAGGGGTCATTTGATGCGATTTCTTGTTTTTCTTTCTCTTTAGTGTGTTATGTTAGTCTGGGTTTCCCCATACTGCCTTCTGCAGCGCGATTTTATTCGCGCTGAAAGGCAGCATGGATACCATGGTCCAGATTTCGCTCATTTAGGGAACCAATCACAGAACGGGGAGGGAGCAGCAAGACGATGACGACATCTATGCAACACACACAAGCAGTTTGTTTATATTCGGCAATAGTTTATATTTTGTTTTTATTCGGCAATAGTCGCTGAACGTTATTGTTTACACAAAAATATCTTACCCATCGTCTTCTTCCTTGTCTAATTTCTGTCGCTCTACATACGTCATCTGGTATAATTGAAATGATTGGCTATGAGCTACGTACAGGCGCATTTGATAGACATTCTTAGCACCCAATAAACGGCGCCGGGCATTCGTAAACCACGCCTCAAATACGAGAAAATGTGCATATGGTTCCCAGACCCAAGTCTCAACGAGAATTGGGTCTGGCGTTAGCCAGGCTAGTGTTATGTAGCTGTTTGTGCATGTATAAGATCTGCAGGGTTACAAAGATCAAAGTCTCAAACCCTAAAGAGATATTCTTTATAAAAGTGAAGGCTCAGCCACACCTTCCTAAAACACTTCGTTCAAACACACCCCCTCATCTCTACGTCAGTGTGTGGGGGCAGAGTTCCATAACACCGCCCAAATGTATACGCAAAGAAGGCATAACTTTTATCCGCGCCGGCATGTCGTAAAGACGCTGTGTTTTTCGTTGCGAAAGCCCAACTACTTTGTTTGGCTTTCCAAAAGAGGACACAGTTAGAAAACAGTGGCTAAGCTTTATTTACAACACTGTTCCAGAACAGTACAACCCAAATATTCGACTGTGTGCTGCGCATTTTTCAGATGACTGTTTCTAGCACCTGGGAGAGCTCAGACTATGTCTTTGTCGTTTCAACTATAACAAATGCAATACTGATGCTTACCAATCTGATACATTCTGGTCCAGTCGCGCTGGCAACGTTGATCGATTAGCTTAGTCATCTGCATCATCCGGATCATATTCCGGCTCTAATTGATAAGGTAGGACTGACATTATAATCTCTCAATATTGCTTTGCTTTGGGAGCTGATGTTCCAGATATGGTAAGAAGTGTGATATTTCCATCAGGTGCTTAAGGTATTTGGGCCAATCACAATGCACTGGATTTCTGACTAATCAGAGCACACAGCGCTTTTCTGAATGATGAGCTTTATTTAACCTAAAACCGCATAAATGCATTGCATTAAACCAAATACACAAAATAATGTTATTTTTAGAACCATCATATGACCCCTTTATAAAGAAGTTTTTCCTTGCCTCCGTCACATACAGTAGTGCTTGTTCATGGTGGGAATTGGTTGGGTATTTGTTAACAATATTATAAAGAGTATGGTCTAGACCTACCGTACTCTGTTTGTAAAGTGCTGTGAGAGAACTTTTGTTATGAATTGGCGCTATATAAATAAAATTGAATTGAAACAGATTCAGGTTATAGATTCTGTATGTGTCTTTGACAGTTTGTAAGGGATGTGACACTATTTCTCAGCTTTATCATTATCCTGAATATCCTATAGATGTTTAGTTAAATATGACTAGTGACTGTGGCCCTTGGCAATGGTTTTCATCTTTTTCATGCTCATCAAACTATTCACTAATTAAATTATATGTATATAATTCCTCCGAATTACATTCCTTCATTGATATATTCACTGCTGTGTGATTCATTATTTTCCTCCAGGACTATTGCAGGAAGGCCAATTATTTGTTAAGCTCATGCTACATAAGGTTTTTTCTGTCTTTCTTTTTTCTCTAAAAATATCAATCAGATGCAGAACAATCCAACCCCACTGACTTGGGAGAGGGGATGTCAGAGCACATGGATGCAGAAGGTATGCTGAGTTGTTTTTATTTTATCTTTAAATAAATATATTACATTAAACTTAAGAAGCATAGTTAACTAGATATGTAACTGTGGTGATTACACAGCACATTTGACTACTGTATACATTATTGAAATAATACAATTAATCAAAAGATGAAATTTTCACCTTTGTGTAATGGTTTAATCTTTTCAAATCAACAGACACAGCGGATGGCATCCAGACGAAGTCGGTGGAGGAAATTTTAGAGGCCATGTGTGAAAATGGTATTTCTTGTAATCATAATACATTTTACCAAATGTTACATAATACATTTACAATGTTACTGTTCTGAGAAGTCATCCATTGACATTTGACACAAAGAGAAAAGCTTACTTGTTTGAAAATTACAATTTATGGATACAATATTTATCCAGGTGACATTAAAAAGCATATATAAGATTGGTATTCTGATAATTTTACATTTTGATTTGGCTGTTGAGATTTAGATGCAAATAATGGTCTTTTTTTTTTTAATCAATGATTTACTAGTTAACTATTGACAGTATAAATGCTGACAAATTGAATTATGAATTTGTAATTAAGATTAAAAATTTGTATTTAGAAAGTTATTATTTTGTTTTGTTTTATGTACTTTAGGTGCACAGCAGATGGAAGAGTCCTCAGAAACAGCCACTACTGTAGCCATCGTGATGACTGCAGATAAAGGTATCTTTCCACATTGTGGTTATTTTTATATAACAGGAAATGACTGTTATATCATATATATTGCCTTAAAGGATAATTCCGTATTTAACACCTTGGGCCCTATTTTAACGATCTAAAACGCAAGTGTCAAAGCGCAAAGCGCAAGTAACTTTGTGGGCGGATCCAGGCGCTATTGCTATTTTCCCGGCGGGATAAATGCCATTTGCGCCTGGCATTAGAATTTTAGAAAATTAGAATATTTAGAATTTTAGAATATTAGAATAATCTAATGCTCTGACAGCATTAGACTGGCTTTCTATGGGCATGCACAAACATGTGCTTAAAACAACCCTTAACGTTCATTTTCAAAACTGTGCAACTCACCGAGTGGTTAGTGGTGTTCATTGATGATTGAAAACAAATATATCGGCGCAATGTATGCTTTCAATCCGTGTTATTTGCTATAGTGGAACTATTTTTTCAGATACCTCACAACCGCGTATAAACTTCTGCTCGATATTTGATATATTAGCGCAGTAATATCAACGAGCACTGAGTCCTTCAACAGAAATCATGCGATTTTACAAATTGGCAAATAAAACACGACAGAAACTGTATTTCGCTACGCTACTTGTTTTGGAACATCAACGAACACCACTAACCACTCGGTGAGTTGCACAGTTTTGAAAACGAACGTTAAGGGTTGTTTTAAGGACATGTTTGTGCATGCCCATAGACAGCCACTCTAAAGCGGTCAGAGGAGATTCTAAAATAGTCAAAAAGTCGAGACAGGACCCATCGTCAACATTTCTAAGTCCACCACTCTAGTTCATCTAAAACAAACGACAAAATAGACTCAAGGTGTTAAATACTGGAAGTATCCTTTAAGTTACAAAATAACAAAATATAACAAATGAGCTCTTCCTCATAATAGACCTGGACAAGACTAGCAGCAGCCTGGATAAAAACAGGCAGTTTCAACAGATTACAATACTAAAATAAGAACAGATATGGAAACAGAAGCATAGACAAAAAAAATTTAAAAGGGGTATAAAAACATTAGACTAACAAACTGTGACAAATTAGCCTCCAATCCTTTCATTTAGGATATAACAGCATTTAACTAGATTCACTTTTAAGTCCTACAAGGGGTAGATTCCAGGCAGAACGTGCAGAATACATACAGCGTTTTTGTATAAAAACATCTTGAAAGGATGTTGTCCAGTACATTTCTTTAAAATACAAACACAGAGAAAGGAGGTAAGAACACCAGCAATTGCTCTTCTTTCTTGACCTGCTTTTATCTAATGATTGAGCATCAGCAATATCTGAGATGAATTATGTGCAATACAAACATTTGCATTTGGCAACAGTTACAAATGAATAAGCTGCCTTTTATATGTTGCTTTGAATATGGTGATGAGTATTTCAACTAACTGGCTTGACTTCCAAAATATTTGTGTTTTTCCTTTGGTAGATGGAGACAATGTGTGCCGTGTCTGCCGTGTCCATTTTGATGACAAAAATAAGAATGCAAGAAAGAAGTGGCGTTCATGGTCACAGTGCACAGTGTGCCAATCATGGTCACACACTGCATGTGGTTTTAAAAAGAACATGTGCCTTCACTGCCAGTGTCAAAACACCATGCAAACACCCTGAACCTATGCTATTTACTGCATTCCAAAATGTATCCGTTACTTTGAGTTGTTTTTACTGTGTTGACGGCCCCCAACCCATCCCTACAAATACACACACACTCACATAATAAATACATACATACATGCACGTTTTAAAATGTATTAAGTCCCTTTCTCCTTTTTCATTAAAATATACTTGATGAACCTTGCTCCAAATTTATTGTAATGGTTACACCTCACTTGTAAGAAGAAAACTGATCTTTTTGTTTTCATTCACCCCCATTTTTATTTATTGTTGTCGTTTGTTGGCACCATCAATGTGGTCCCTTTTAAACTGGGCCATGTGGGGATCAATAAAGTTCTATTGTACTGAATTGAGTCTACGTGTTTGTTTGTTTATATATGAATCTGTTTCGTCATTGGTTCAGTAGGGCCGGGTTTAAGCAAGTTAAATATAATGGTTGCTATAGATGCTGTTATCACTGAAGCCACTTCGCATGACGTAGTTCCCTCAGAAGTATTTTCACACTCACTGTGTTATGCTTTTCTTTTAATGATTAACATTTAAGATAAAATGTGAAGTGTATAATTTTATCTGTGTTAAGGATATTAATTGTTTCTCCTTGGATTCTGAGAAATAAAGTTTATTGTCAGTTTATGCAAGGGAGTTCCACTTCTGTTTAGAGTTGTCTGCCATGGATAGACTACATTTCAATTCAAAGTACTGCCGGTCACTATGATATTATATTTTAGTCACAAATATCAATTATTTGAACACATAACCAAACATTTCTTTAAAAAAAAACAACACTTTCTTTAGGTGAATACAAAAAAATTGACATGCTTTAAAAAATGCTTTTTAAATGGCACATGAGTTTTGCTAACATGGACTGGGAAAACATTCATCCATCTTCTACTTGGAAACTTGGTTATAAACTTAAGTTGCCTGAGCAATGAATACACATTTTGAATAGTTAAATATGTGTAGTATTAGATTCTGTGTTTAAAAAAGATGCTTAATTTTGAAGAGATACAGCAAGCAAATGTCACCTATTGGGTGGAAGGACCTATGTATAATGTAGACTACTCTTGTATTTGACAACCAATAGGCCTAATAATAGTCTACAAGTAGCCTAAGAGGAGATGACTACCCATCATGTAGACGATGGTCTTAGTCATTAATGGTATTTAACCATCATAACAGCATTAACATAAATAGATAGCCTATGTATTTAAGCCATGTGTGTCCCAAACATAAATGCAGTGTGTGTGTATACCAGATATTCCTCATGTTGTAGGGTTGTAAATCTGTTTACAGAGTCACAAACAAACAAACAAACAAACAAACAAACAAACAAAAAGCTTCATATAGGCTACTCCTATTGAGCCTTCAAAGTGCTCTCTAAAACTACACCAGGGATGGCTTGTGTACGTGAAATGAGAAAATTAAAACTTTGTTGTAGAGCTAAACCAATACATCGTTAGAAAGGTCTTGACCTAGAGAGTAATATTATGTATGTATTAAGATTCTACATGGCCCCTGTTTTGAAATACTGACCTTTGAAACGTCACCTTGGTGCATGTTTGAAGGCCTATAATTAAGCAATAAAAGGGGCTATCGACATGGGACCAACTGTTATAGAGAGATCTTGTCCTTAGTTATCATGTGAATATAGTCAACAATTTGGAACAATGTCAAGTATGGTTAAAAATAATTTTAACCTATTTAAAAATATAAAAATTAATTTAATTTAAAATCGGATTACATAGATGTGTTTACAATCCCCCTAGACTCCTCATTGTACTCTCAACTAACTATTTACAACCTCCAATTCTAAGAAAAACACTAATATTTTAAAAACTACAATTCCCTATAGATACACAATGCAGCTTGATACGAATAAGCACTGCAGTTGTAGTTTTTCTGGTTTGCAAATTAGGGTTGTAAAAAGATATATCTACTGAATAAATCAAACATTTAGTACAGCCAAACTATTGATTACACTGTATCTAGATGATCTACGCTAAGAAAATGTAAATATGTTGATTTATTTAAGCTATTTTAGCCGAAACAGGATAACCCGTAAACCCCGCCCACAACACAATGCACTTCCGTGTTTCTCATAATCGAAGGAGTATTGTTAAAAGTGTTAACCTTAAAATTAACATATCGTAATGTTGAGTTATCAAGTTGTGGTTTTTCTGTGGACAAATGTTGAATTAATTATTTTAAAAAAGTGTCTGTGAATAAAATAATTTCGGGCGGAAGTACGTCATGCAAGCTGCGTGGTTTCAGTTATAGCGTCAATAGCAACCACCATAGCAACTAAATGCAAGAAAAACTAAATGTAATGTACATTAACTAAACTAAGAATGTGAAAATAAAATTTAAGCAGTCAATTGGAGGAAGAAGAGAAGAACCTACTGTACTGTTATGTAAGAAGAACCTACTGTATTGGAGGTGGCACACTGTCCGGTGGATTATGACTGTAAAACTATTCTGTCATTTATTAAGTAAATTACGGCTACTTTTTATTTAATTTATGTGTGCTGTGAATAGGTGCTATGACAATGGTTGAAAACATGGCTATAACTCATTATGAGAAAGGTGTATTGTAGAGTCAATACACATGTATGTTCCCTTTTAGTTTTACAAACTTGTAGTTGATTCAGAGGATTCAAGATTCCATACTTTATTGTCATTTCAACTCAGTTAAAGGGGATTTGGTTTGGTGAGCTCACTAAAAAGAAAACAAAGCTCTCACACATAACCACATTTGTACATTACAATAAATAAGTAATATCACAATATGGTAAACACACAATTTTGTACTCATATACTAGTGGCAATATGTGCTTAAATATAGTACCTAAGCTTTAAAATAGATCAGACCTAGTAAAACAACACGTCTTTGTGAACTTTGTAAATACAGGCCCTGTCCTGTCATACCAGTGATTACATTCCTAGTTATCATGGTCATCCTCAGTGTCATCCTCATTATCACCATCATCATTGTATACTAGTGTCTGTATGCTTGACATGGGGAGGGCCTGACACAAGTAGGAGTTGTCTACAGGAACAATGTCTGGTACATGTGGGTGAAACATCACAGTGGCTTGATATCGTTTTCTTTCCAGCTGATGGAGACGTTGGGTGAGCGCAGCTTTTGCACCAGGCTGATCTGTGTCTTTGATGGCAGAGCACAGAAAGGCATGCTGCTGATGGAGGTGTTCAATTACAGTTCTCATTTCCTGATAAAGCATGCGCTTTTCCTCAGCTGCCCGAGTCTTCATATATAAGGCATCAATCCCTCGCCTTTTTAGACTCACCAGGTGGTACCAGGTGGTTTCAAAAATGATGGGCAGGTAGTTGTGGTTGGTGAGCGGTTGTCAGATTGTTTCTTGAGTGACTGCTGTGTGGTTACTAGGGTTAGGTAATTATAATTACAGTGTCATCAAAGCAGAAGTAGACTTGCCAAGAGGGATCACATGCTTCCTGAAAATCAATTATTGTAGGGAAGATGCTCATCTGTGGTGGCCACTGAATGCAGTTGTATTCTTTTATTGCCTGTCTCTGTCTCTTGTTGGAGCTGGCAATCTGCTTGGAAAGTCTAATGGCAATGCCCTGCCCATCTGTAGCAAAGATAGGAAACACGCATGCAGATAAATTCATTTATTAGTGTGTATTATGGTCCTTTTCAAAGTTGAACTTAATATCTTAATGTAGCCCATCTACGTATCCACAGCACTTTACCTGGATATTTTCTTTTCAGATGGAGGAGGACTGTTCTCTCCCTTGATTCGGTTCTAGCTTTGAAGATTAGTTGTCCTCTGAGTCACAGTCAACATCTTTAAGGGTAGATTGGAAGTCTGAGTCAGATTCTTGCCATCTTCTCCCAATCCGGTGTTTTTTCTCTATGTTCAGCAGAGAGTCCTCAATTCTACAATGGTCAGAAAATAAATATTATTATAGTTATTTACACACTTGCTCAGAGAACAGTGACAGATTACTGCTTACTCTGTTTCACACTCCATGTACGACTCACGAGTCCCAGATCTATACATAAAAATAAAAAAACACAGCACAAAAATTCATTAGGTACCAAGCAGAAAGCATTTCTGTGGTTCACCCCAGACCAAAGAGTGCATACGTTATTAGGGAGGCCTTGGTGATAATTGATTACTAATCACAACATATTCAATTACTGCAGTATTATAGCAACTCTTAATTTATAACCATTGTAACGGTTTCCTTCAAAGCTATGCTGTTACTGTAATCACACCTACTTCCATGCTGAAGCACATCAGCAGGGCACTGAAAGACAGCTGTAATTACCATATAGTTTTACATAAACACATTAAACTCTTACTTGAACTTGTAGAACTGAATCAGCTGGATGATGTAGTCCCTTTTCCATTTACAGACAGTGTCTGGAGAACAGATAAAGACATTACTACTGCTCTAATACATTGTTTCATTTCATGTAACTTCACATAGCTTGCAGGATTGTATTTCATTACTGTACACGGAAAGGTAAGTATAACATATTTGCAATACTCTTTGCTAATAATTTGCATGACCTTCATACAGTGTTCAGACATTCACCCATTCACTTCAGTTGCTTACTTATTGGTCTCTGTTTCTGATGGGCTAGCTCCATCTCTCTTTTCTTCCATTTCTCCATGTCTCCCTCAGAAACCAACACTAGACAACAAAAATAACAGAAAACAAGACATCAATACTACATACTCCATGCAAAATGCGCTTGTAAACAGAATCTAAAATTCTCCGGTTTACAACTATTGTTTCCTGCTTCTTATGTGCATTGTTTACCTGGTGCGTCTCTGATGACAGATGAGATGTCTTCTTGAGCGAGAATTGATATTTTCTCTGCTCTGTCTAGTCTTTGCAGGAGCTGCATCTCTGCAAACACAGTTTAATTTACTTATGCTGACCAATTTGTGAGTGATCAGCTTCACTCCAGAAAATATAAAATGTATAAACAGTGAACCACCAGCACAGAATTTTGGCAGGTTATGCTGTAGTGGACAAACCTAGGTCAGTTGATTTCCTCCGTCCATAATGCAAAAGGGCATCAGTCAACAGATCGAGGCGGTGAGATGGAGTCATCTCCTTTGTGACTCTGGCAAATCTTCGGAGAAAAGACCACAGCCTTTCCATTCCTTCCCCGTCTGTGAGCCCAAACCCATCGAGCCGCCTAGTGCTGTACTTGATCTGTGATTAAAGCAAAGTGGTAGAATAGATGCTGACACTGAGCATGATCGTACTTCAGTGTAAACTGCTTATAGGGATCACGGTTACAGTGATCAACCACTTATATGGATTCAAAAGCTTGGGACAGAATCATTGCTGTAGAAATGCTGTGTAAATAATTTGTTTATAGTAATCAAGTAGTCCGCTTAGTGTGTTTCATATTGTGTGTGTGTACATACGCTTGCTGTGCAAATGTGATGTTTTCCTCTACTCACACTGCTGTGGTCTATGGAGTTATTTTGCCCTCCTGTTCCTGCTCTGCTGTTTTTTTGGGACTTTTATGGTACATAATGATTGTCCTGGCTCTCTCACAGCAGCAGCTAGGCCTACTGCATGTTACTTGAGTGGAGTGTAATGCTTTCACCTTGACCATTCAGACAGGGCTTGGATCAGGAGAGGGCCTAGGTGTAGCTTATTTTATTTTATCTTTAAAGGAACACTCCACCGTTTTTTCATATTAAACAATGTAATTTCCTTAACTAAGACGAGTTGATACATACCTCTCTCGTCTCAGTGCGTACGCTCAATCGCTCTGGCGCGCGGCGATACTTTGAGTCCAGTTCATTCATTAGGATCCAAACAGAGATGAAGTTAGAAACGACCAAACACCTCCACGTTTTCCCTATTTAAATATAGTTACACGAGTAGTTACACGACCAAGTATGGTGAGACAAAATAAAACGTGGCGTGGTGTTTTTTGTCGCTTTTAACTTCATCTCTGTTTGGATCCTAATGAATGAACTGGACACTCAAAGTATCGCCGCGCACCAGAGCAATTGAGCGCACGCACTGAGATGAGAGAGGTATGTATGTATCCACTTTTCCTTTAAGTCAGAAAAAATAGTGAAGCTGCTCATGTTATTACTTTATATGGATGTAATAATTATACAAATTAGATAGTAATCTGCATAAAACATAAAAACAACTTTGGTTATAACAATCATCCGCTTATAGTGATTTGGCCCAGACAGATGTGAGATAAGCGGTTTCCACTGTATTGTCCAACAGTGCATCTCTGAAACAAGTTTAGACAAACACCAGTTGGGAAAAATGCCAGAATAAAGATTACTTTTAGGCACATCTACTTAATTTCAGCTGTGCAGTTTATAGACAGGAAAATTGAGGGCAAACAGGGAGTGAATGATGTGTGACACAGGTCCTGATGTCTCTATAAAGCCAATTAACTACCTGGCAGGGCAGTTTGTGTCCATAAACATGAAATGCTGGTATGGCCAAGGAGATGTTGTGTGGTATGCCCTCTCCTGATTTCTGATTGAACACAGTATAGCATAATTTTAAGTAAATGTGTCAAGGTCTTTTCTCAAAACAACAATTCAGTTTTACACAAAAAAGTACTTACATGCAAATGTGAGGCAACAACACAGGCAATGTCATAGACTACTCGCAGGTGTATGTTCTTGTCCTCACATCTTCGAAGTAGCTCATCGATGACATACAGGGGATAGGCTAATCTATTTCAACACAAATTTGAATAAGGACACTTTATACTGAGGAAAAGTAGAAATTAATTATACATTCTCCAGCATAGTGAAGATTATAGAATGGTGGTAAAGTTCAAATTTTGTAATGTTTTGGAATATACATTCCATAAGGTTCATCTTTTGCATTAAAATATGGCTTATTATATGAATAGGTAGAATCAAACAGGGGAATTATCATTCTGGAACACAGGGTCAATAGTCAGAGATGTCACTACTGTGGCATTTACTTACCGTTCTCCTTGGCTCATGTTGACAAACATTAGGGGCATTTCATGACGACAAGAGGCTCCAAACACTCCTGTAACATCAAGTTTATTTGCTTGTTTTTGTGACCTCAGCACGTTGCCAGCCTTGAAGTTACTGCAGTCCTAAAGATTTAAGGAAAACATAGATTTATGGGAGGAATAATGATTAATTAAATATTTCATTAATATTTCATGGACTCAGTCCATGAAATTCTACAACTAAGACTAACCTCGTGAGGCTTTGAGCTGTCAAGATGTGATAGCAGGTATTCCTCTACATCCTTTTCATTAACAAACATGCGGGTTCCGTGTAATGGCTCAACCGCACTTGTACCTGAGCTGTGCTTCCTCACAAGGCCAAAGTTGGCATCCAATGTAACAATCATTCCCATCCGCCTGGAAAACAAACACTTACAGTAATCCTGTATCTGCATCAGGTTTATACATTTATACGAATACAATTTTATTATATTTTTATACTTTATACAAAAATTGGTACTTTCCTGTTATCCGGACCCCACGATGGCCTACCCCTAACCCCGCCCCTAAACCTACCCGTCACTGGGGTTAAGACCAATCAGGGACGATGGCCTACCCCTAACCCCGCCCCTAAACCTACCCGTCACTAGGGTTAAGACCAATCAGGGATGACTATACGGACTATACGGGACTAATGCCGCGTTCCAGGCAACCTGTAACCCGTGTTTTTCCAACCTTATACCCGTGAAAGTGTACTGGAACGGCAGTCAAACCCGTGAACTCGTACTAGATCGATGTACTACCAGTTACGAGTTGGAAAAACACGGGTTACAGGTTGCCTGGAACGCGGCATTAAAGAAACACGTGGGGTCCGGATAACAGGAAAGTACCCAAAAATTAACTAAGTTTTCAGATATCAATTCAATGCCATTAGGTCATCGAAAATGCAATCAGGTTAATCGAACAAGAACCACGCTGGAGCTAGAACCAACCTTTGGGCATGCTGGGCATATGGTCCCATCATCTAATTGTGGGCAAATATCTACCAAACTTCTTTGTCGGAAGTGGTGATGCCTAAAATGGGATATGGATTCTCCCACCAGGGCTCTGTAGAGTGTGTTAACCTAGGGTATAAGCAGCAGTCAGTGAAAACATTACTGTTTCCTATACTTACATCTGGTGATGGTGGTTCACTCAGAAGTTGTTATTTTGATAGAAAACTTTTAAGAATACTTTTGCATGCAAATGTACAATACTATATGGTTACATACTTTAAGTTGTGATAATTAATAATGCAGTACAATCAAGGAAGAATGTGTAATTTTCACAACCATATGGAATCGGTCTTCCATGAAAGTACAGTAATGGCGCTTTTCCACTACACAGTACCAGCTCGCCTCGGCTCGACTCGACTTGACTCGCCTCGGCTCGCTTTTCGCTCCGTTTTCCATTGCAGATAGTACCTCCACAATAGTACCTGGTCGTCATAGCGACGCTGCAGGAAAATGCCATGACTTAATCTTCTACGCGAGGCACCCGCTACCCAAACACACAGGACAATGGAGGAAATCGAGTGTGTGCTGTTTTTGGATGTTTTTATTTTTGCTGTTTTTTATTCAGGAAACTCCCGTCTGGCACGTGCAATAATGACGCAGTGAATGGTGACGATTCTCTCTGACCAATCAGCAGTCTGCCATGTTTTCACGTCACATTTTAGTATCACCTCAGCTCGCTTAGAACCTCGCCGGAGGTGGTACGAAAAAAAGTACCCGAAAGCAGGTACAGGTACAACTTTGACACAGTGGAAAACCAAACAAAGCCGAGCCGAGTCGAGTCGAGCCGAGGCGAGCTGGTACTGTGTAGTGGAAAAGCGCCATAACTGAAATTTTCACTTCACAGGCAAGACTTTAAACTGACCTCTGCAAGTGTGAGGTTGTTTTTCCAGCGCAGGGTGTTGCAAAAACCCTCAACAGAAACCTGACACTCCAGTGACAGACAAACAAAAAGCTCTAGCAGAGGTATGGAGAAGGCTGTGTGGGGCTTGTCGGCTGTTGCCGGCCAGAGACCATACCTGAGCAAAGTACAGGTTTCTGGTTCACATGCACACATATTGACTGTGACGGTGCAGAGCCGTCCTGCCAAATAAAAAGAGGGAAATATATATTAGAAAAAACATAAACAAGTACTACTATAGAGACTACCATATCAGCATAGACTAAATCACTTGAGTGTGTCACCTACAACACCATAAATCAGCAAACAACTTTTTTTTTTACAAAATTGTATCAGAAATTTGATTAATTCCTTATAGGAAATCATTACTACACATGTATAGGACCGAATTCCTTAACCTGTCAAGAAAATTAAATACATTAAGATTCTGTATCATGTAAAATGACAAACCTGTGCTGACAATGACCTTCATGTCCTTTGTGTACACAGCATGGGTGCTATGGCCTTCAGGTAAATATAGGAATAACCCCAGGGAGGATGGCTCATAGTAGACATTCTGTAAGAAAGATTGATAGCTCTAACAATCTTTTTAAAACTACAAACTCGTGACACTAACAGTTGATAATACATAATGCTAGAACAATTTGAAGTATCTAATAAATCTGTTGAAATTACTGTGAGTTTGTTGCCTGTGTGTATGACTGCATGGTATTGTTCTTACATTCCACTTATCAGAAAGATGCAGTGAATTTCTGTGAGTCCTCTTCAGACAACCCTCACAAAACACTGCAGTGCTGCTGCACTCAATGCACCTGTAATCAGCATGTTCTAGACAGACAACACACTGGGTAGCGATTGGTGCTGAACATTCAAATGACACCTTAAGCATGTCATCCTTGACTGCATCCCAGGCATGTAGCTCTCTCTTCTTTGCCTTACTGTATGCACTCTCAGAACAAGAACTACAGCTCGGTGCCACATCATCGGGTTCAGCCTGTTGAGATGTAATAGTCGGGTCGGTCTGTTTGGAGTTGGGCTGGGGAAGACCTTGACTAAGGTAAGAAACCTTTGCAGGGCCAACGATACACCTCCTCACCACCTTAATCTTAACGCTCCTGGAACGTGTGGTCTTAACTGTTTTTCCCATATCTGAAATCAAAATATTTGGCAATTATTACATAAAGCAAAGTGCAACCTGTACTTCTTATCACAGCCTAAAAGACAGAAACACATCAGTGAACATGGGATGCAGACAAGGGATATGTATTTGGTGCCATAGATATGTCAATAAAAGTAAGGTTAGGCCTATGGCTTCACTGAAGCGTTAACGAGCATACAATATTATGCAATAAGCCTTACAGTGTGGAAAAAGTAATTTTTACAGGCTAACTTTGCGTTTAACTAGAAACTAAATTTCCCCATTAGCTTCATACGTAAAAACATACTTATTAGCAACGTTAATGCTCAAATAAAGCAAGTAAGTAACGTAATGTTGGGCTAATAACGTAACGTAATAGGGCCTAACGTTAGCCTATATAACGTTAGCCAAAATAATCGCAATACGCTTATCTCATGTCAACACTCATGCCCATTCAATCGAGTGATAACATTCGAAGCGGGTGTTGAAAGAGGTGTCAAGGAAGCATCTACACCAGGGTCGAGAAGCCGTCATTGAACAGAGGAGGGGGTCTACGCCACCACTTATCCCCCACTTACAATGCTGTCCTTTCATCACTTCCCAGGAAACTCAACAAACGTAACCTATTGGCCTCAGGTGAAGATACCAACGATGGTCGTTCAGTCTCGGCCACAGGTAGTCTTAACGACTGTAACGACTGTCGTCACAGCAACAAGGAACACTAACGAACCAGCGGTATCGATGACCCGGGCCAACGACCCCACTGAGGTTAAATAGCTGAGTTTCCCTGCCAGTCAGTCAGAACTGAAGAAGTCCTTTGGATGAGGGACGAAACGTCTTCCAGTATCTTCAACCAAGTCTGTTGCCCTTGACTGAACATTTACTAAGAGCAAGTGGTATAAATACACAAAGTTGTTTAAATTCAAAGTAAAATAATTTAAAATAAATACAATAAGGTGTAATAAAACCTATGGCACTTCGTCTATGAAGATTCTCAGTCATCCAGGTCATAGTTATCCAACGAAGGTTAAAATCAAGGGCAACTGGACTTGGTTGAAGATACTGGAAGACGTTTCGTCCCTCATCCAAAGGACTTCTTCAGTTCTGACTGACTGGCAGGGAAACTCAGCTATTTAACCGCAGTGGCACCTATGGCACTTCATTTCCAATGGAGTGGACAGATGTTTTTTCAGTCATAGAACAAAATGTACAAGAAACATATCAATAAAACCTGGATTAAAGTATTTCTAACATCTTATTTATTTCTTGCTAGAAAAACGTGCTATGCTTAAGTGGTGGGGTGGTGATGGGGTGACCCATCCACCAATGTGTCCCTGAGCAAGACACTTAACCCCTCGTTGCTCCAGAGGCGTGCGACCTCTGACATATAAAGCAATTGTAAGTCGCTTTGGATAAAAGCGTCAGCTAAATGTAATGTAAGTATTTTAAACTTCTGCAAGCCTGTCTAAACAAAGAAGCATTTAATAATCTCAGTGAACTTATGAAACTTGTGCATAGAGAGAGGCTGGAAACGCCTACGGGAGGGAGACATGGCGTAATGTAGATGACAGCTCCTGTCTACATCCGTGTGATCATGTGACCTAGATAAAGAGTCAGCTACCTTGTCTGACATGGAAAACAATGGGTGTAACCAAATGTTTAAAAACAGTGTCGAGCCCTTCTCGTTAGTTTATTCTGTATTCATTGTAGTGCATGTATTGACTCCTTGCAAATAAAAGATCACTGATTGTGACTCCAGTGACTCTGTCGTTCTTTGGTAAAGATTCTTCTAACAGTTCATAATGTTAAATTCAGATAAAACTGAAGTTATTGTACTGGGGCCCAAACACGTCCGAGACGCATTATCTAAAAATATAGTTACTCTGGATCAGAATCAGAATCAGAATCCGTTTTATTCGCCAGGTGTGTGTACACATTTGAGGAATTTGACTTTGGATTGTACTTTGCTCACGATGTGCCTACTCATACAATGATAATACAATAACACAATAATAAAGTCAGACACAGGCTACAGTATGGAGAACACAAATATACACACTATAAACTGAAACAAAAATAATAGAGAGATATTGACAAATATGTGCAGTGAGCACAGTGCAAAGGATGCAAGAGTAAAATTATTAATATCATTATTATGTACATGTCGTAGGTGGATGTGATATGCAGGTACACTTACATGCATACATGTACACAGTGTGATGGAGCATAGTGCAAAGATACTGATATAAATAAGTAAGTATTTTGTGCAAGTGTTATGATGTTGAGGTAGGTGGTTGCACAGGAATCGTTCCTCACACTGTGAGTCAGAGTGAGCTGTTCATTAAAGTGATGGCTTGTGGGAAGAAACTGTTCCTGAGTCTGTTGGTTTGGGAGTAAAGTGCTCTATAGCGCCTACCAGAGGTGAGAAATTGGAACAGGTTGTGTCCGCGGTGAGATGGATCTGCAGTAATGTTTCCTGCCCATTTCCTGACTCTGGAAATGTATAAGTTCTGAATGGAGGGCAGGTTGGCACCGATCTTTTCTGCAGTCCTGACTGTCCGTTGTAGTCTGCTCCTGTCCTTTTTGGTGGCAGATCCAAACCAGACAGTGATAGAGGTGCAGAGGACAGACTAGATGATGGCTGTGTAGAAGTGGATCAGCAGCTCCTTAGGCAGGTTGAGCTTCCTGAGCTGGTGCTGGAAGTACATCCTCTGCTGGGCCTTCTTGATGATGGTGTCAGTGTTGGGCTCCCACTTCAGGTCCTGGTATGTAGTGGATCTCAGAAACCTAAAGGATTCCACAGCAGACACAGGGCTGTTGAGTATGGTGATGGGGGCAGAATGGCGGGGCTCCTCCTGAAGTCCACGATCATCTCCTTAGTTTTGAGCGTGTTAAGCTCCAGGTTGTTCTGATCGCACCAGAGAGCCAGCTGATCAACCTCCCGTCTGTAGGCCGATGACCGTTGTGTCGTCAGCGAATTTCAAGAGTTTGACAGATGGGTCTCCTGAGGTGCAGTCGTTGGTGTAGAGGGAGAAGAGCAGTGGGGAGAGCACACACCCCTGGGGGGCGCCAGTGCTGATAGTCCGGAGACTGGATGTGATGTTTCCCAGCCTCACCTGCTGACTCATGTCAGTCAGGAAGTCTGTGATCCACTGGCAGGTGGAGGCTGGCACAGTGAGCTGGGTGAGTTTGGTGCTGAGGATGTCCAGGATGATGGTGTTGAACGCCGAACTGAAGTCCACAAACAGGATCCTAGCATATGTCCCTGGAGAGTTGAGGTGTTGCAGGATGTAATGCAGTCCCAAGTTGACTGCATCATCCACTGACATGTTAGCCCTGTAGGCAAACTGCAGGGGGTCCAGCAAGGGGCCTGTAATGTCCTTCAGGTGGGCCAACACTAGTCTTTCACTGTACTCATTTAATCCAGAGATAAAGGGTTTTTTGGGGACTGGGATGATTGTGGAGCGTTTGAAGCAGGAGGGAACTTCACACAGCTCCCAGGGGTCAGCTGGTCTGTACAGATATTCAGGCAAGATGGTGAAACACCGCCAGGGCCAGGAGCCTTCCTGATATTCTGCCTTTGAAAGAGGTGGCTCACATCCTCTTCACAGATCATGAGTGCAGGTGAGGGGTCAGAGGGGGGGGGGGGGGGGGGGGGGGGGTGAGAGCGTGGCAGTGGGGGAAGGTGACTGTTTGAAGATGATGTTGGGGCGGGGGAGAGGTGTGACTGGGCTTTTCAAACCTACAGTAAAATCCATTCAGCTTGTCTGCCAGTTGTTGAGTACCAGCAGTGTTGGGGGATGGTCTCCTGCAGGCTTCTCCACACGGACACAGCGTCGCTGGCCGTGAAGCTGTTTTCTAGCTTTCCAGCTTGGCTCTTTAGTCAGAGTGTTCCTGGCCTGGATTTACAGGACCTTATTCCCACTTCTGAAGGTCTCCTCTTTGGTGTGACGAAGCTGCGTGAGTTTTGCTGTGGGCCAGGGTTTTTGTGTTGTTGTATGTTCAAAATCGCACTAGAGTAAAAGCAGTAATACTACATTGTAATACTTCATTATAAGTAAAAGTACCACATTCGAAATCTTACTGCTGTGTAATATATTAAGTAAATGAAGAAATGCTACAATGTATTCTCTATTTCAAGTAAAAATACCACAGTGCAATGGCTTACTTACAGCTACTACAATGTAATACTCAATCACAAGACAAGAGGTAATTCTACAGTATGTAATACTCCATGACATGAATATACTGCATGAGTATAAGAAGAAATACTAAATTCAATTGAAAATACATATAAATTTTTTGTAGCATAAAATAATTATTATGAAATACAATAGAACTATCATTTAGTGTAATAGAAATAAAAAGTAGTATAATAGAATTAGTATTAATTAGCAGCCAACACAATATCCACACAGAAATACAGTAAAGACAGTAAAGGTAGTAGTGGTACAGACTGAAAATAAATAATGGTACTGTTAATTATAGTAATGTTAATAAACTTAATAATAATAATAATAATAATAATAATAATAATAATAATAGACCTATCAATAATAATTGTAAAAATGGGTGTCGAGCAGGAACTTTGTAGCAGCAGAATTGGTATGTAGTGTAAGACAAGTAGTAAGTAGGATAATTAAAGTAGTATGTAGTGTAATGTAATTAGCATGTAATATAATTAGCACGTAGCAAAATAGAATTAATATGTAGTAAGATAGAAGTAGTATATAGTATTATAGAAATAGTATGTAGTATAATATGGTAAGTATAATTAGTGTAATGGAAGAAGTAAGTACTAAAATAGATCTTAGTAATATCGTAATATGCAGTAAAAGATTAGTATGTGGTATAATATAACTAGTTTGTAGTACAATATAATATATATGTAGTATAACAGAATTGGTATGTAGTATAATATAACTAAAATGTCGTAAAAGATAATTAGCATATATTATAATTAGTATGTGGTATAACAGAATAAGTATGTAGTATAATATAATTAGAATGTAGTCTAATAGAATGAGTATGTAGTATGATAGAAGTAATATGTAGTATAAGATAGTTAGTATACAGCATAATATAATTAGTATGTAGTGTATTTGGAGTACTGCTGCTCTCTAGTGGCTACAACAACACACTGCTTTGCTTTTACTTTTACTACTGCTGCTTCTGCTGCTGCTGCTTCAGCTCCTGTTACCAAGCCCTTCCTGAAATACCTCAACAACGATTAGATGGATTGTGATGAAATGTGTTTCTGTTTCCGGCTCTGACAAAGTAGCCTCTAGTCATGTTTGTATGAGGACTTGTTGGCTCTCATCAACACCAAGTGTAAACTGTAAAGTTCACCTTTGATGGCTAAAATCTCCATAAATAAAGTCCATGGACGTGACCTCCAGGTGGGTCGTCATTGTTGGTCTCTGGGCT